CTTTAAAATAAATAAATAAAAAAATAAAAACATTGGAAAATTTTGGGGAGATTTGTGACAATTTGAAAAAATTCACAGATGAACTATGTAGTCTAGAAATACCGAAGAAATTAAGAAAACGGTATACCATGAATGCATAAAATACAGATGTAGATATAATTTATTTTATCAATTACTACCATACAATACAGTTGACTCTTGAACAACATGAATTTGAACCATGTGGGTCCTCCTATGTGCAAATTTTTTACACTACAGTATTGTAAATATATTTTCTCTTACGATTTTTTTTTAATATCACAAAATTTGTAATTCTTCGGAAAGTTTACCTGGAATGTCCTATGATTTCTGTTTCAGTGTTTTCTCTTAATTGTAATGTTTTTCTGGTTTGATTTAATTCATTAATTCAACATCTGTTAAAGCAAATCCTGTGCCTTATCTCAGGCTGGGTCCTGGGAGCACATGGAGAGCATGCCAGTTGATAAGGTCTGGCCCCCACCCTCCAGCACCTCAATGTTTAGTCTCCACAAATTAAGTAGCTAGGTATGTAACTAGATTTCTTTTTCAGATAGTGATGTTTAGGGAAAACTATTAGTAAGAACATGTTTAATGACACTGGGTTCTTTTGTTTGTTTGTTTTAGTGCTCCAAGGATATAGTATTCCTAAAGGCACAGTGATATTACCCAACTTGTGGTCAGTACACAGAGACCCAGCCACTTGGGAGAAACCAGATGATTTCTACCCTAATCGATTTCTGGATGATCAAGGACAACTTATTAAAAAAGAAACATTTATTCCTTTTGGGATAGGTCAGTTAAACTTTTATTTTCTTAATGGCATAATTAAAGAGGTAGAGCTAAAAGAATCTTTTATTATTTCATGATATTGTTTTAAAAATATATCTTTCCTGGGGAGCCTGGGTGGCTCAGTCAGTTAAGCATGATTTCGGCTCAGGTCATGATCTCAGGGTTGTGAGATAGAGCCCCACATTGGGCTCTGAGCTCAGTGCAGAGTCTGCTTGAGATTCTCTCTCTCCCTCTCCCCCCGGGCTCATGCTCTCTATCTCTCTAAAATAAATAAATAAATAAAATCTTTAAAAATATTTTTTTCTTAGCAAGCAAATGTAAGAGAAGAGGTAAATAATCAAGATAATACAGCCCCACTATATTCATTTCAGATTTTAAAAACAAAATGAAAGCATTGGTTTTAAATCCTTTAATATGACTAGAAATGTCCCTTTCTGAGCTGCACAAGTGATTATTTGAGTCTCAGGAAACTGTTGGCGTTAAGAGCAACTTGTAATCTTTTGCTGGGCTGGTGGCTGAGAGGCTGGGTTCTCCAACCTCACCAGTCCCTCCTTTAGACACCTGGATGAGCACATGTAGGATTCTTTCTATAAAAAAGGAATGCTCCAGAGATTCTCATTTGACTCATTTTCTCTTTGATCTTCCAGGTAAGAGCAAAGGAAAGAGATAAGTAGGTATGGAGGAGACAAGAGTAGCCTCGATCTGTCTCTAGTTCCAGTCTAGAATGAGGATAGGTTTTCATTAGTAGGAGTTAAAATGTGAATTTAGTACGTAAAAATTCTGATCAGCATATTCTTTGGGAAGCCATGAGGTATATGTGGCCATTTTATTTTAAAATTCTCTAGAGGTGCCTAGGTGGCTCAGTCATTAAGCATCTGCCTTTGGCTCAGGTCATGATCCCATGGTCCTGGGATCGAGCGCCACATTGGGTTCCCTGCTCAGTGGGGAGCCTGTTTTCCCCTCTGCCTGCCACTCTCCCTGCTTGTGCTCTCTCTCAAATAAATAAAATCTTAAAAAAAAAACCCACCTCTCTCTATCTTCATTTAAAACACTTAATTGAGATATTTCATATAAAATTGCTCTGATCTCGAGATAGGAAGAGTGATGGTATTATAATCCCAACTTTCTCTTCTGATCTCATTTTTAGGGAAGCGGGTGTGTATGGGAGAACAACTGGCCAAGATGGAATTATTTCTGATGTTTGTGAGCCTAATGCAGAGTTTCACATTTGCTTTACCCAAGAATTCTAAGAAGCCCATCCTGACTGGAAGATATGGTTTAACTCTAGCCCCACACCCATTTAATATAATCATTTCAAAGAGATAACACGTCCAAGAAGAGAATGTAAATACATTTCCTCCTCAGCAGATTCTTCCTTCTGCAGTTGACGGCAGACCCAGCAACTCAGTGGCCCCAGGTTAGGTTCAGATGAGAGGGAGACCAGAATGTGGATGGAGCTTGCATCTTGGAAGATTCCTCAGCAGGACACTTCCGTCACTTTAGTGACGCCCGTCTGTGACTTAGGGGATGGGGACCCGAGTGCCAGCTCGGGAAGCAGGAGATCTGGATTTTATCCCCCGTGGCTTCCACCAGTGAACATTCCTCCTCATCACTCAGTGCCTCAGTCATTCCGTGTGTCAAATGAGTTTAAGAAAACGTGCCTTCTCTCCTCTCTCAGCACTAAGGAAGGTCAAATGCCGCATGTCTTTCCTGACATCACCAAAACACTGTTAAGTACTGAAGAAGCCGAAGGAGGACCCACAAGCTCAAGACCTATGACAGCACGAAAGTGGGGTTCCGACTTGAACACTTTGCCAGAGAAAGATGTGGGTTTCAGTCATGACGAGTTAGAGCTTTTCTCTGCACAGATCCTATGTTGGTCTTGGGAGGGGGGAGGCTTGTTCTGTAGCTGTTATCTTTTCATTTTTGATGTAGTTTTTTACATTTTGTAGACACAGACTCAAGTGCCCTTGTCGGGTATGGAGAGGGGAACCTGTTGTTTGAATGTGTGTGTCTGTCTTCTGTTTCAACTGCAGCCACAGTGAGGCTTGGCTGAAGAAGAGGCTTCGTGGCTCCGAGTCCCTCTCTGCTGAGCTGCTTGCAGACATACAGCTCTGCCTTTCCACTTGAGCCCTGAACCATGAGCTTGGGAATTCTGATACTGGGATTCCTCGGGAAGGATTCAGGCTATGGTTCTCTCTCTCTCTCTCTTGCACGGGCTCCGTACGTCTCTCACCTTAGTACCTCGCAGAGACACAGAGGCATTCTTAATCTTGTTAAGAGACCTACATCGTTCCTTAATAAAGACGGTCCCTTCAGAAGAGCAGTTCTCAAAAAAGGCACTGACCCCTTTCAGGGGGTATTTGGAAATGTGTAAGTGCATCTTCGGTTGTCACAACGATGATGGAGCTATTGGCCTTTTGCTGCGTGCAGCCAGGATGCTGTGTCTGAGCAGACCTGTACCCAGAGGAATAATCCTGCCTACTACTCTGCCAGTATTTCCCCCAATGAGGGCATGCTCCAAAGAATGACCAGCCCTCTCCTGGATTCTCCCATAGTGCTCCTGATAGAGAAGTAACCACGATAATAAGATGTGCACCCACAGTTTGGAGCCTTCCCTCCTGCGGGCACCATACTTAGTGCTTGCCTTGTATGCCTACATCATTCTTACAGAAACTCTATTAAGAAGACATTATTTGTAGCTGACAGAGCTGAGCGTCAGAGAAGTGAAGGTACCTAGTTAGAAGGTCCCGTTGTTCATTTCAGACCTACCAGTCCTCGTGACTGGAGAGTTCTCTCCTTACCACTGCCCTGTATTGCTGTCATCTGATCCCATGGGAGTCTACTGGGCGTTTTCAGTGCAGATGGATGAGGTACAGGCAGATCTCTAGGTGCCTTGAGGACTTTCGTCAACTAAAAAAAAAACAAAAACAGAAAACCAAACCAAATAAACTAACTGCCCAGGAATTGTGAGCAAATGGAGTGGTTGTCTAGATTTGTGATGAGATGATGGTGTGTGGTTACACTGTACCTTGAGCAGGACAGTTTGTTCCTCAGCTGGAATTTTATATGTTTTTGCATTGCCCTAATAATTTGGCATTAGCAAGTTTATTACTCCTTAATTTATACATACATTTTCAACATTCCTAACTGAGCAGTTTGTAGCTTGCTTGAAAAAAACAAACAAACCTGTTCTGTGAGATTCTGTTGAAATCAGATGTTCATTAAACTCTTCAATATAATGCCTCAGACTGTAGCACTTTAAAAACATCTTTATATGGTAAATCACTGAAAGGACCGTTAATGCTGTCCTTGTATATGTTGGCATTTTATGATTTTGTACCTTATGATTTATTTGAAGTGTAAAAATCATAATACTTTGTTTTATATATCTTCCTAATGCCTAATTTTTAATCCTCATCTTTAGCATAATTTTTGGTGCTTTTATTAAACTTTCAGTTTTAACTGAAATAGTATCGTCTGGTTTTTTGTTTCTTGTTTTAACTGCTAAACAAAATTTTTTTTAAACTACAAGCCGAGTTAGGAAATGGAGGAGGGAGCAGACCTCCAAAGAGAGAGACGGTCACAATGTAACAGAAACATGGCTTTAAACTGGAGGATAATTCTTTTAAAATATCCCCTCAGAGCACAGTTACTCTCAGGACCGTCCCAGCTCAGGTTTCTGATTTCCCACGCCCCAATCCAGCGTTATTTGAGGGAGGGATGAATCTACATGAGCCCATTTTGGCAAAGTATTGAGTACTCTCTTACACTTCTCAGCTCTGGGAGAGGAGTTTGTTAAATACCTCAACCTGTGGATTTTGCTTACAGATGAGCCCCCTGCCGGCTTTTTCCTTGTCCCACTCTTCCTCCTGCTTCCTCATAGCTCAGAGGTCACCTCCTATCTAAAGTGGCCTTTCTGGAGAACTCCCTGCTATGGACTAAATGTTTGTGTCCCCCCTAAATTCTCATATTCAAACCTAATCCTGATGTGATGGTGTTTGGAGTGGGACCTTGAGATGGTGACTAGGTCTTGATGGTGGAGCCCTCGTGAAGGGATTAGTGTCCTTATGAAAGAGGCTCCTGAGAGCTCCCTTGTCCCTCCCCCATGTGAGAAGCAACATGAAGACAGCCGACTGAGAGCCAGGAAGTAGGCTCTCAGCAGATCCCGAATCTGCCCTGATTTTGGACTTCCAGCCTCCAGAACTGTAAGAAATACATTTCTGTTACTTATAGGACAGCCAGTCTGGTATTTCGGTTCTAGCAGCCCTCACAACGCTCCCTAATCTCATCACCCAGTTCCTCCAAGCCCTCCTCACTATTTATGGTTACTCCGTTTATTTAAACCCTCAGCTCCTACAATCTGCTCCACCTCCTGCCAGTTTAAAACACTTGATGCACAAGTTTTTAATTTTCATGAAGTCCAATGTGTCTATTTTTTCTTTTGTTGCCCGTACCTTTCGTGTCCTATCAAGAAATAGTTGTCATATCCAATGTCACAAAACTTTCCCCCTTTTCTTCCAAGAATGTTAGAGTTTCAGCTTTTTTGTTTAGGTCTTCGATCCATTTTGAGCCGATTTTTGTATGTGGTGTAAAGTAAGGTCTAACTTCATTTTTTTGCATGTGGTTACGGTTTCCCCAGCACTGTTTGTTGAAGAGACTATCTTTTCCCTGTCGAATGATCTTGGTACCCTTGTTGAAAATTATTTGACCATATAGATGAGCTTTTTATTTCTGGGTCAATACTATCTTTAAAATAATGAATTACTAGGGGCACCTGGGTGGCTCAGTTGGTTAAGGGTCTAACTTCAGCTCAGGTCATGATCCCAGGGTCCTGGGATTGAGTCCTGCGTCGGGTTCCCTGCTCAGCGGGGAGCCTGCTTCTCTTTCTGCCTGCTGCTCCCCCTGCTTGTGCTCACTCCCTGCCCCCTCAAATAAATTAATAAATTCTTTTTAAAAAATGAGAACAGCTCAAAGGAGGCTGATAACATAAAAATTAAAAAAAAACAAACACATTTTCTCTCTTTTCATATACCCAAATCTAAGAGTTAGGTCTAAAAAATAGAAATAATATTGTATGTATGTATATTCTATGTATGTAAGTATCTATCTATGAAACATTTGATATGGGAATGGGAGCTGCTTTTCTAAGCATAAAAAATACATTCAATCACAAATATAAAGCAGAGTAGATTTGATGACATAAAAACAGAAAACTCCCATGTTCTAAAATGACAGTTGGCAAATCATGAAAAATATATCAGTCTTGACAAAAATTTAATATTCCTAATATAGAGAGTGCTTATAATTCAGTGAGTGGAATACCCAGTTTTAAAAATAGGGAGGGACTTCCTGGCTGGGTTGGTGGATAGAGCATGGGACTCTTGATCTCAGGGTTGGGAGTTCAAGCCCCACATTGGGCATGGAGCCTACTAAAAAAATAAATAAAAATAGGTGAAAGACACACAAAATTTTGAAAATACAAATGGCCAATATATGAAAGAATGTTTAAATTCATTGAAAATGCAACTAAAATAGTAATAAGATACTATTTTTTACCCATCAAATTTTAAAGATACATCTTAAAAGGAAAATACCAAATATTGATAAGAGAGAAGCATTCATATACTGCTGTTGGCAATTAGACTGAAGCTACATTTCTGGAGAAAATTTAATATGCATGAAAGTTTTTAAAGTATTTGTTCCTAAATGCAGAGTAGTATCCTACATTGGATTCTGGAATAGAATACCACATTAACGGATAAACCTGAGAATCCAGTGAAGTCTGGAGTTTAGTTCATATCATTGTCTTCAGTGTTAATGTCTTCATTTTTGACAAGTGTACCATGGTTATGCAAGATGTCAAAACTAGGGGAAGCTGGATGAAGGGAATGCATGAACTCTCTGCACTATCTTTGCAACTCTTCTGTAAATCAAAACTCATTCCTCCCAGAAGTTTTCTTAAGTAAGTGTTCATCCCATTTTGCTCAATCAGTTCTACTTCTAAGATATAGCCATGGGTAATATTGAAAGATAAAAACAGTTTTGGATAAGTTATTCATTATTCACTGCAGTGATATACTTGATAGCAAAAGAGAAAAGGAAAGAAAAGACAAGCAATCCAAATGCTCAACACTATGGGCAATGTAATAGCCATACTCATTCACACATGAAATAATTATGAGACCCCTTCTAGATGTTGGGGCATAGAAGCAACCAAAACAAAGATCTCTGACATGAAAGAGCTTAATTTCCAAAAGAGGAAAACATGACAGTGAATAAGATATATAAAATGTGTAGCATATTAGTCATAAATGTTAAAGACCAAAATAAAACCAGGGAAGGGAGGCAAAAAACCAGGGGGAGGTTGCATTTTTAGGTACAGAGGACAGAGAAAGCTTCACTGGGAAGCTGATGTATTTTTTTTTTAAGATTTTTATTTATTTATTTATTTGAGAGAGAGAGAATGAGAAAGAGAGAGCACATGAGAGGGAGGAGGGCTAGAGAGAGAAGCAGACTCCCCGCCGAGCAGGGAGCCCGATGCGGGACTCGATCCAGGGACTCCAGGATCATGACCTGAGCCGAAGGCAGTAGCTTAACCAACTGAGCCACCCAGGCGCCCCTGGGAAGCTGATATTTGAGTTAAGACCCAGGGGAAGTGAAGAGCAAACATCTAGGCAGACATCTAGGCAGAAGGAACAGGAAGTCCACAGGCCTCATTGCAGGGATGTGTCTGAAATGTTGGAGGAACAGAACATCTGGAGCAGAGTGAACAAGAAAGAATGGTAGTAGGAGAGGAAATCATAAAGTTGGAAGAAAGGACAGATGACAGAGACGATGGCTCAATCTGAGTGAGATGGAAGCCATAGAGGGTTTTGAATAGAGAAGGAACATGATGTGACTTTCAGTTGAATGGATTCTCTCCGGCTACTGTGTTAAGAATAATCAGAATAGGGCAAGGGTGGAATAATGGAGTGTTATCTAACAAATATTATTCTTAATAACCTTCAACGGCATCAGAAGGGTTCACAATATTGCAATATAATTTTAAAAGGAAGATGAAAATCTAAATACACTATGATCCCTTCTTCTAGAATTATAGACTGACAGAACTTTGGATAGTAAAATTACAGTTTTGTTTTGCTCTCAACTCTTCTGTTTCTCAACTTTTCTGTAATGCACGTCTTTTCCTTTAAAAGTAAATGAATGAATAATACCTACCAGATTACGAATTGCTCACGTGTAATCAATTGAGTTATGATTGTGATTTCTGACAGCATTGAGCCTGTTTGGTTCAAGATATTTTAATATTCATCTGTAAAATGAAAGCTTTTGTAGCTCTGAAAGCACACTGAGCATTTTTAATTGAAACTTCTTTAGTCTAAAATGATGATAGGCTAGGGTTTTTATACGACAGAACATTAGAGCTAAAAGGAGGCTTAGAGATGATTTAATTTAGTCTCCTAATAGATGAGGAGATGGAAATATCAGTAGTGAAATGACCAGCCCAAGGACTCTTAGATCCAGAATCAGAACCCACATGTTTGGATGCCTGGTCTGATTCTCCCATATGATCAAGGAAAATTGAGAGCAAGATGCCAGATTTTAAGGGCTTACCTAAAACATCAAAGGTAGGGGTTCCTATTTCCTATAGTTTCAAGCACCTAAGTTAAATGGTATTTTTTTTTAAATTTTATTTCTTTATTTGACAGAGAGAGAGCATAAGCAGGGGGAGAGGCAGAGGCAGAGGGAGAAGCAGACTCCCCGCTGAGCAGCGAGCCCGACATGGGGCTCCATCCCAGGACCCTGGAATCATGACCCAAGCCGAAGGCAGCCGCTTAACCGACTGAGCCACCCAGGCGCCCCTAAATGGTATTTTTTTAAAGATTTTATTTATTTGAGAGAGAGAGAGAGAGAGCACGAGCAGGGGGAGGGGCAGAGGGAAAGGGAGAAGCAGGCTCCCCGCTCTTCAGGGAGCCCAATGTTGGGCTCCATCCCAGGACCCTGGGATCATGACCTGAGCGGAAGGCAGATGCTTAACCAACTCAGCCACCCAGGTGCCCCTAAATGGTATTGTTTTTAAATATTCATCTATTTTAAGCTATTCTCTTATTTAAAGATTATCTTTAAATAATATCTTTAATAACCTTTAACGGCAATGGAGTATAGTCAATGGCTAGTATATGCCAATCTCTGGTAAAAACTTTAAGAATAATTTGGTCTAAATGAAATGCTATGCTTGTAATTCCTTGCCTGTGCACTTAAGGAAAAAAAAAAGAGCTTAAGGAAGTTTCTTTAAAAATAAAAAGTACTGCCACTATTAGATTTTCAACACGCTATTAACTGTGTATTGAAAAAGCTCTTTGCTGCCCCATTGTGGGGAAATAAAGATCTTCGCATTAAAAATCTTGAAGACAAGAGTT